TTGGAGAGATGGCTCTGTAGTTAAGAGCAGTGACTACTCTTGCAGAGGACCTAGGTTCAATTCTTAGCATCCACATTACGGCTAACAGCTGTAACTCCAGCTCCAGGGGAATCTGATGCCCTCTTCTAAACTCTGCAGGCATTGTTTGACATACATGCAGGCAATACACTCATACACAAAAAAATAAAAATAAAAAATAAAGAAAGAATAGAGACTGTTTTACTGCAGCCTTCAGGAAGAGGATTGAGCTTAAGCTGAACTTGAAGCTTCAATTTAGAGAGAACTGGGAAGGTCATTTCAGGTAGAAAAATAAACATTGCCAAGGTCTAGAAGGACTGACTTATATTTTTGCTACAGAATGTGCATTGAAGCCCACAGAAAAGTGTTTCACTCTGCTCATTAAAGTGTGGGAAACACTGGTGCGTACTGTTGGCATAGTGCTGTACAATTTTCTGTTGACTAGAGAACTGTCCCACTCGGCTGTCTGGATTGGCTAGCTGGATATGAGTGAGTTAGTGAATTAGGCAAAGATGTCCAGTAGCATCCAGCCTTACTACAAGAAAACATGAGGGTTAGAGAGGTGTCACGATAGCTGAGATTTAGGCTAAGGTTCAAGATCCATATGCTCTCACACCACACAGCAAGCCACAGTTGGGGAGTGAGTAGTCCAATGCAGAAAGCATGTATGTGGACTAGTTAGCAGTTGGTTGTAGGAAAATGATTCTGTATTCATTCATGTGTTTTGCAGAAGAGTGTGCTGTCAGTTTGAGGGAGAGAGCTGGTGATACAATGTGGCTACATCAGAATGGAGAAGAGAGGCACCAGTTATGTAGAGTGTGCCAATTCCAAATTGTAAACCCCTCAACGCTGTCCTTACCAGCAAGTCATTCAGTGTCTGTTGGCCTCTTTGTGCCAGACACTGGGCATGTGATCCTGCCTTCATGATTGGGGTCTTAGTCATACAATGCTTCTAGTTGACCAGGTAAACATGAGTCCCAAGTATATGAAGGACTAATAGTAATGACAGCAGTGGAATCAACTTTGATTTTTGACCTTTTCGTTTCTCCTGTAAAAAGCTGTCCCCAAAGTTAGGTTACTTCTCTTCTCACCTTGGTTTTGCTATTAGTGTTACAGGAAACCTTGAGTGGTTTTTAATTGCTCTGTATCTCAGTTTTCCTAATTACAAAATGAACATCATGTATAGCCATGACTTCACAGTGCAGGGTATTGTGATGAGGTAATTTATGGTGACTCTTCTGGTTTCCTGAGAAGTTGTGAAAGCCCGTAACAGTGTTAATATAAAATTGCTTTTAAAACCTTTTCTTTCAGAAACTTTTAAAATTTCAATTCCCTTGTGCATTTTAGTCATTTTTATAATTACATTGAAAGGAAGGGGCTTGGGGCGATCCAGCCATCTGTGGCACTTGTTCTTCCCTGGAGGTAGAGCCAGAGGAGATAATGATGTACCTGAGATGTTGTTAGTCCCACTTGGAAGGAGGGTTGATGGTGGTTTCTTATTCTGGCTCTAAGGCCCATCTGCCGATAGGTTTGATGTCTTTAGACAAAAACATGTGCACGAATGTGAGCATAGTAATGGTAGAGTGATAGTAAAGAAAAGAATGAGAGAATGCTTTTGTTCTCTGAGGGGACAGGAGTAGGATATGTGAGCTGTGTGAAATTATCACAGCCAGAAATGGCAAACTAAGGAAAACTACTCTCTTGTTCTGTGGCGGTGGTACATCCTCATGGCCAATTATGTCATCTTTGATTTCCTATGACCATGTAATGTGGGTGCCTGTGGTGTAAAGGACCTACATTTGCGTGACTATGGACTTTTAGCCTTGCCTGTCTGACCGAATTTCATGGTGCCCTTGTAGAGCATGTATCACACAGTGTGACTACTGCCTGCCCACTCTGTTTCCTTATGAGTAGCAAAACCCAACAATCTTCGAAGTTTTATTGAAGCTGACACTTCATAGAAGAGTTGCATATTTCTACCCTTTCTGTTAACATTAAAACTATGGTCCCATGTATTGAGGACCAAGGAGGGGAGATGGGGCGAGGGAGAGCGAGAATACTCATGCTCAGGCATCAGGTTGGCCAGGAAGACATTGTGAGGAGTGGGAAGGCAGAGAGGTTGAGAAAGGCATAGTGCTAGGAATGAAATAGGTTAGGACTGGTTGATGCATACAGTACTGATTGACTAGCCTCTGTTGTTCCTGTCATTAAGAATAAGGGCTATAACAGCATCTACTCATTCTGAACTACTTTCTCCAGATTGTAGAATTTACAGACAATGGCAGTCTTCATAATGGGGCATACCTCAGTTTAGAGAAGCCTTTAGAGCTTTACCCCTTTTACCTAGAAAACTGCTTATTTTAGATCAATCCAGATCCAAATATGACATGCTGACATACATTCACCAGGAACTTAGACTAGGGCTTGCACATAGTTAGCTTTATGAAAGCATGTACTGCTATTACTGCAGTTCCCTCTTGGTCATTTATTTACTCCCTTGTTGAATGTGGAGGCCCTGGGTTATTTTCTTTGGAAACCCAAAGATGAGTCAGATATAACAAATATACAGTGAAGAAAGCAGTATGTGCTCTATAGCAGTCTAGACAGTGCTTGGGGGAAGAGTGTGAGCAGGAGAGAACTTGTGTGCCATCAGAGAGGATGGCATGCTAGTAAGGAGGGCAATACCTGAAGTTGCGTTTTTGAGAATGGGGGAAAAGCATTCCTGGCAAGAGACAGTGCCTTCAGGGTAAAGTGAACGGAAGGCGTGGGACTAGAAGAGAGAACGCTTCAAGAGGAAAACATGGCTGGTTTGTTTTGCCTGATGGAAGGCCGTGTTTTGAGTCATCTTCTGCATTCCCTTGGCTCATGTTTTTCATTTCTTTATACCCATCAATTAAATTTTAGCAGATTGTAATCAGAAGGGGCAGTTACTAAACAGATGAAAGTGGCTTTGTAATTATAGTGACTGCTGAATGTGTAATCTATTTGTTGTTGTAATTATTAAGGTTTTTATTTTTATAAGCTGATTGCCTCTTCTTCTAAAACATCCTTAATAGTATGCAAATAGGGGCCAGGAAGCATGCAGACCTAGGAACATGTTTTCCTTTGCATCTTATAATAGATCATTGAGCATACTGACCTGTGGCAGCCTTGCACATCTCCAGAGAGGCCCACAGTCAATCGACTCAAAATTGATTGAGACTGCCTCGTATCTTCTCAGCCTTACCAAAAGGGGAGAAATTGCAGCACAGTTTTACATTAGCTTCTGTTATCATGCATACAATGCCATGATTCCCTTTCTCTTTCCCTGACAGTAATTCCATCATCTAGTGCTGATAAATGGTTTTGGCTTTGGCTCTCTTGCTTATCTACTTAGCCAATGTGCCTCACAGAATGGTATGGAAAGAGCTCCCTCTGAAGTTCTCTGTGGACTCAAGAAGAATCCTTTGGCATGTCTTTCCCACCTTTATGTGCCTCAGTCAGCTCATCTGACGAGTGGGCTCATGACCATACACTGAGAGAAATCATGTGCTTTGTGTGTTCTAGATACTTACTCTGTTTAGAGGTGTTTTAAGACCACATTCAAAGTTAGTAGGGATAGTTTCTTAAAATAAGATTGTCTTAATCTGAAATGGACTAATGTGTTATTTTAATAAATGTTAAGCTTGAAATAATCATCCAACAATGAGAGCTAGTATAAAAGAAATTCATAGAATATAAAGGCTGATAGAGCTTAACAGCTTATAAATCCAGTTTTGAGTAGCCACCAGATTTAGAACATTCAGGGTCAGATAGCATATACATTTAATAAAGATTTCTTGAATTAGTGGGAACTATAATTTTTCTTTGTTGGAGGATAATTATGGTTAAATTAAACCAAGATTAAATACAGCTAAAGATTATAAAATGAATGTGCCTGGGATTTTGAACCTCTTTAAATCTGATGAGTTGTATGTCATGTTTTAAAGTATCTACTTGAGTACATAGTGTGCTTACATGATTTATATGTACTGCCTTCTCAGACACCAATGTCTTGTTTCAATCACGAGAGGGAAGCCAAGAGCCTCCTCACCCATGGTGACTGCTTATTTGAGCTGAAGCTACAGTGATGAGAAGGAAATAACTGGAATGTTAGTATTTTAAATCAGGGCCAGTAATGTGGCCCTTGCCTCCAGTGTCGAACAATAGAAAGCAAAGCCATCAGCATTACACACATCCTAGATGTGGAAGGAAAACACTCTGAAGATGCACAAAGTGGCTGGATGTGTGGTGCACGCCTTTAGCCCAGCACTCAGGAGGCAGAGGCAGGTGGATCTCTGTGAGTTCAAGGCTAGCCTGGTGTACATTGTGAGTTCCAGGCCAGCCAGGGCTACATAGTAAGACCCTGTCTTAAACAAAAACAACCACAAAAAAACATGACATGTTCTCTAGATAGACTGCTGAAGGTCATGTTCTTTATAAAGCATGAAGCTTCTCTTTGAGGATTTTCTTCTTGGTTTCTGATGTATAGGTCATAAAAGCACCAAAGCAAGAAGCAGCTCTCTCTTCCTCTCTCTCTCTTCCTCTCTCTCTCTCTCTCTCTCTCTCTCTCTCTCTCCCCCTCTCTATTCTCTTACCATTTCTTCCTCTTCTTTCTCCTCCTCTTCTTATTCTTCATCCTCTTCCTCTTTCTCTTCTCCCTTCTTTTGTTTGAGTTAGGGGATCCTGTATTTCAGCCTGGCCTGGAACTCACTACATAACCAGGGGTGACACTGACCTTCTCATTCTCCTGCCTCTACTTCCTAAATGCTGGGGTTACAGATCTGAACCACCATGTGTGGCTTATGTAGTGCTGGGATCGTGCATACTAGGCACTCACTCACCCTATCAGCTGAGCTGTGTCCCTAGTCCAATAATGGATCCTTCAAGGTTGGCAGGTTTCCTTGGTTTTCTACATACATGCCCAGTCTGCAGCTTCTGGTTTTGTGTGTTTGCTCTTTCAGCTCTACGTGGCCACAGAGGCCATCCTCATTGCACTGATTGGTGCCACACCATCATACCACTGGGACTTGGCGGAGCTCCTTCCCAACCAGAGCCACAGCAACCAGTCAGTGGGCAAAGACCAGAACTTTGGGAACTGGTTTCTGACGGCCAATGGCAGCGAGATCCATAAGCACGTGCACTTCAGCAGCAGCTTTACCTCCATCGCCTCCGAGGTAACTCAGGCCGTGATGATCACCAAAACAATATTTCTCCTCATCCAGGGGAACCACTCTGCTTGTCTTAGGGATTTAAATTTCAGCCACTTCTTCAAATAACTTTCTTGTCGATTTAAGTTAAAGTTTTCAAGGTATTAAAGGAGCTGCTGGGCATGGTGGCCTTTAATCTTAGTACTCAGGGAGCAGAGGCCTGCCTTGTTTACATAGTGAGTTCCAGGCTGGCTCAGCTAAGGGAGATCCTAATTTTTTTTTTATTTAAAAGCAGAATATTCTATTAAATATAGGCCATTTTGTTTTTCCTTGTTACTGTACATGGGAGAAGGATGCATCAACCAAGCTAGGGAAATAAGATACAAACTCTGTAAAAGCCCACTTTGATGACAAAATCTTTTTAAAAAGTGAATGAAAACCCAGTCTCTTTCTTTTATGGTCGTAAATGTTATCAAAGTAAAGCAGGAGGAGTTCAGTAACCTTTCTCAGTTTTGAGTCTTGTCTGTAGACATGGGGCACCTTGACTACAGAGGATAAAGCACAGATGGAGCCCAAGTGTGTGCAGGCTGCCCTACTCTGAAGGAGCATTGCCAACCATGGAGACATTGCTGCTGCAGAGCCAAGCAGAGAGGAAGAAGCTGAGAGTACAGTCTGCTGAGGGAAACTCCAGGGTGGGAGAGGCAGGACACCATGGGACTGGCCGTGACGAATGTTGACACACTCCAGTCTTCTCTGCTTGCTTATTGTAAGCTGCCACGTGCTGGTCACTACCCTGGTCCTGCCTTGGATATTGTGATCTGTTAATATGGTAAATGCCTAGAGCAAATTGGGGTCCTTGCTAGCTCACAGTTTTAATTGCCAGCAGCAATTTAATTGCTAGCAGACCCCAGCCCCTTCAACCATTCCCCTGCATTGATGCCAGAGTGCCTACCAGATGCCCTGCTTACTACCAGGCCAGGCCTGGAAGTCACCCTCCTCTGCAAATGCACATACGTGCTTGTGTGTACATGAGTGTGTGCCTATCTGTATCCCAATCCCACCCACCTTTACCTTTACAGATTTTTTTCATCACCATGTTTTACATGATTCATATTAAAGACAGAGGAGATATGCTGAGGGTGGCATTTGCTTGGCTTTTCTGTAGAGGTCCCCCAATGTAAGGGATAATTACTAAATTATTTCCCAGACACAAAACCATGGTTCAAATAAGAGTCTAGCCATATTATTGCTCATTCAGAAACCTCTAATAATTCTCCCACTGCACATGGGGCACAGCAAAGACCTGAAGGCCTTTTACACATCACAGCTTGGTCAGGGTATCCTTTTCCAGGCCAACTCTGCTAGCCCTTACCCAGGAACATTCACAATTTCCCACAGGTACCCTAAGCTCTCAGCCTAACCTTATTACCTAGAGCAAGGATGGCCTTTACTCATCCCAGCCTCTCCTTATAAGAAACCTAGCCTATATTGTAATGCCCTCTTAGCATCACCTGCCCTGTGACATCTTCCAGCCAACTTCCCAGAAGGCAATGCTCTTTTGTTTCTGCTATAGTAACATTTTTTGTGCTTATGTCATAGACTTGTTCCAGGTTCGCTTCTCTGTTTAAAAAGGTCTTTGAAGTAAGTCAGAAATCATGTTTTGATCATCTTTGTATCTCCATGACACAGTAGCAACATGGAGGTATTTTATAACTTTTTTTTTTTTTTGAGACAGGATCTCCCTGTAGCCCCAGCTGCTCTGAAATGTAGACCAGGCCCTTGAATTCACAAAGAACTGCCTGCCTTTCCCTCCCAAGTGCTGGGATTAAAGATGAAAGGCAAGTGCCACCAGGTCAGGCTTCCTCTTCAAAGTAATTCTATGCTATAGGCATTGGTTTCTCCATTTTACAGATGAAGAAACTGAGACTCTTTGAGGTCAAGTTTAACTAATAAGGGCAGTGTTGATATTTGTAAGCCTGAGCTCTTCATTGTATTTTTCAGGAAAGAAGCTGGGCCTGTAGTCCAATTTGGCATGCACATCTCTTAGGTTCTTTTTGACAGGCAATGTTAGCCAAATATGCTTTTAAAAAAAATATATATTTTATTTATTATTTATTATTTTTTATGTGTATGAGTGTGTTTCTTGTGTGTATAAAAGTGCACACATGTCATGCAGTGCCCACGGAGGTCAGAAGAGGGTATCAGATTCCCCTGGAACTGGAGTTACAGATGGTTGTTAGCTGCCATGTGGGTGCTAGGAATGGAACCTGGGTTCACTGCAAGAACAGCCAGTATTGTTAATTGCTGAGCCAACTTTCCAGCATCCCCAAATATGTTCTTAAGTATTAATTTATAAATAATTTCAAGTGGACAGAGCTGAGAATGTAACTTAGTGGTACTATGCTTGCTTAGCATGTATGAGACCCTAGGTTCAATCCTTAGTAGGGGGTGGGTGTGATAACTAACAAATTTTAAGAATAGGAATAGAAAAAATTTTAAAACCTTAAATCTTTTAATTTCATCTGTTAATATTTTGTTTCTATAGCACTATTGTCTCTGTTAAGCTATTTTATTTTATTTTATTTTATTTTATTTTTATCTTTTTCAGACATAGTCACCCTGTAGCCACAACTGGCCTGGAACTCACTATGGAGACCAGGCTGGCTAGGTCTGCCTGCCTCTGCTTCCTGAATACTGGGATTAAAGACATGTGCCACCACACCTGGCCTATTAAGCCATTTTAAATTTGTATGTACCAATGTTATTTTACACCTAAGTATTTTAATATGAATTTCCTGAAAATGAGGGCATTCTCTAACAGTTATAATTCAAGAGATACCCAATTGTGTTACTTAGTTTAATGTTTTCCTTAATGTGATCTTTTTTCTTTTTTTAAAATATATTTTATTTATTATTTTTATTTTATGTGTATGAATGTTATGTCTGCATATAGGTAAGTACACCCAGGTCTTGCAATGCCTACAGAGGACGGAAGAGGCTGTTGGATCCCCTGGAACTTGGAGTTATGGACAGTTGTTAGCTGCCATGTGGGTGCTGGGATTTGAACCCTGGCCTTCTGCAAGAAGACCAGCCCCCGTTTTTTCTTATAAATATCTTGACTCTGGCCTAGGATCATATGTTAAAGTTAACTGTTCTTAGGTCTCCAGTGTCCTTGGCCTTCCACCTTTCTTTTCTTCATGGTAATTGATATTTTTCAAACGCCCATACCCTTTCCCTTTAAAAAAGCTAGAATGTTGTTTATTTGGGATTTGTCTGATGAGCCTCATTTAGGCCAGTTATGCATCTCTGGGGAACGTGGCACGTAAGTAATGCTGCGTCTTTCTCATATTTTACACCTGGAGACGCTTAGGCTTTTGGTGATGCTGACTTTGATTATCTATTCCAGGAATCATCTGAGTTCCCCCTCCCTGTACAGTTGCTATTGTTTAATTTTTACAGAATAACAAGTCTAAATCACCTTCAGATTATGTGGAGTTGCTGCTGTTTCCCAGATCTCTGCCCACAATTTAGTAGCCAGTTATGATTCTTAGATGAATCATTGTAGATGATAATATTGGACAAATGATTATTCCTAACTCAGCACTTTCTCCACATGATCAGCCTGTGCCCTGCTTTCTGCTGTAAGCAAGAGTCTTTCCTTGTCCCTGTGTGTCTGTCTATTTGGTCTGTATCTATCCAAAGTATGTCTATGCAGATTTCTGCTCTTTTCAGTGATTTATAATTTATTACAGCCCTTAATTATCTTACTATCAAATTATTCCCAGTTTACCAGTGGGAATTTTTTCAAGTTTGTTATTGTGTCCTTTTTTATTTTTAATTAGAATTTTAATTTGAAATAATTGCAAAATTACATGCATAAATGTACCCTTTACCTGGTCTCCCCAAAGACAACATCTTCCAAAACCATACTGTAGTATCTCAGCTAAGATGTTGACTTTGATGTGACCACCTATCACCACAAGGACCATCTTGCTGGCCCTTCCTATAGAGCTTTCTCACTTCCCTCCCATGGCTCACCATTTCCCAGTCCCTCCTAACTGCCAATATGATCTCTTAAACTATGATTCTGTTAACTGAAGAATAGTATAAAAACAGAACCTAATTGTTGGAGCCTTTTGAAGTTCTTTTTTTCCCCCCCCACTTGGCATAGGTATCTGCTGATTGCCCCAGATTTATATTATTATAGCTATTAATGAACTTGGAATGGGGTGGACCTGTTCTTGCTTGATTCTTTTCCGGATTGTTTTAGTTGTTTCAGTTCCTCGCCTTCCCCATACGGCTTTTAGAATAATTTTGTCTCTGTCTACAAAAAAAAACTCTTTTGATGGGACTGGAGAGATGGTTCAGTGGTTAAGAGCACTAGTAACCACATGGTAACTAACAACTGTCCTTAACTCCAGTTCCAGGAGATCTGGCACTCCTCTTCTGGCCTGTGTGGGTATTACATGACATGGGTGCATTTACATACATGTAGGCAAAACACTCATATACATAAAGAAAAATTTCTTTTGAGGATTGTAACGAGAGTTGCCTTCAACCTGCATATCAGTCTGGAGAAAACTGACATCTTTACTAGTCACAGCTTTCTTGGGGCATGGCTTCTAGTCCCACCAATAACAAGACTCACTTCTGTGTGAATCACAAGGCTCAGATAAGCACCATCTGCAAGCTTTTTGATGTGTCCGCTCAGTTTCTGAGTGAGAACAGCTGCTGGATGGGCAGGACCAGCTAGAGTTCACTGAGGCATGACATGGCTTGAGGGAGGGAGGCCTCCCCAAGCTGGTGTAAAGTGCTTGATTGGTCATGACTTGAACAAGGCCTCCTGAAGCAGAAGTCATGGCTTCAGGATCTGCATGGGTTCCCACAATCCTGGAATGTAGTTTGCTTGGAGTAACTGTAGCATTCAAAGCACCTGGGTTGCCATGAAGACCCTCTGGCTAGGTGTCAGAAAGTAACTGCTTTGTTGATAGTTTCAGGCTCAGGGTAGGTGGGAAAGTCTCAAAGGA